GTCACTACGGTTGCAGTTTTTCAGTCATTTGGGAGCCTGCAACTATCAATGGACTCCTTAAATAACTTAGTCGCCGGTCCCGCTAATGCTTGAGAACGAATCAATGCGGGATGCAATCCATCTGGTCCTACTGCTTTATGCCTATTTAAGGCGTTGAACTCTCGAACCACGTCGTTTTCACAGAGGATGAACTCTGTGAAATGCTCCCTTGTTTTAACCGGGCTGCAGCCTACAGTCTGTTCTGATGTAGGTAGCCGATAAATTCCCTTGAAAAACGTAAGGAGTGCATTTACCTTTTCCTGGTCGGTGGCGGCCATTACGCCTTCCGTTACCTCCAGTCTACCAACTCTCTCCTTAGTGTTTTTGTTTGCCTGCACATACGCATTAAACCTTTTCTGGTTATGCCTTTCGTTTTGCACTAAGGTTTTCTCATGTTCATACTTCGCCTCCCTTTGAAAGGATTGTGCTTTATTGCGTGCTCTCTTGTAGATCGACCACTCATCGGCAGTCCGGTACGCCCTAAAGCGGGTCCAGTATCTCCCCGGACTACTAGTGCCCGATCTAGCTGTGGCTTTCACCAAGCTGATCGTTGACTATGGCTACTAGGTTTGAGGAATGCAAACCTATCGGTCAGTCAAAGCGGCCCTATCTTAACGACAGACCATCGCTCTTCCAAAGTTGGCTCGGGAGCTAGTGGCACCCAATATACTTGCTCTGCGGCCTTTTGCAAGGCAGCAACGTTAAAACGGCTATAGCACCGTTTAAGTGGTACAGCCGGTTTGCTGTTTCATGGGTAATACTAATCTTAATACCCCATGATTATTCTTGCTTAGTGAAGTCTCCACCACTACCTGGCTTATGTTCGATAAATACCGCGTTATAACTAAGTCCAGGACGAAGGTCCTCTGTTGGTTGCGAAACCTTGTGGCCTGCATGATATGCTGAATGAGCGAATGCTCACGTAGCCACGTTAGAAAACCTCCTTTTGTCCCAACGGGAGCCTCTTCCTCTACCCAGCAGATCTCCGGAAGATTGAAATCACCCAGAATTAATATCTTTTGTATTGTATTGTATTTGTAACTTGTGTAAGCAGATATGCTTACATTTCAGTTAAAAATGTACACTGTTCGTCACACAGAATGGAATAAAAATAATGAAAACAAAAGACAAAGAATGTCGGTGACATACGTTTCATGTACAAAGCATTTGACGTAGTTTATTTGATACCTGTTCCTTCTACTGGTCATCTTTCTAGAGGGATACTACATCTTGGCTTGAATATTAGGTATCACCATTGATTGGAAGCGGCTTTGACTAGCAGAAGTACACTTCCGCCTTGTCTGCCGTCCACTCTATCTTGCCTGTAAGCCGAATAGTCTGTGGGCTTCTCTATATCTTGCTCATGCCGCATCCAAGTTTCAGTGACAGCTATTATCACCGAGTTTTAGCGCGCGTCGCCAACGCTCCCCATTTTCCCCTAACACTGCGGGAATTAGTGCATTGTGAGGGCGTCTACCTTGGCCTTCATACAACTCTTCTTTATTGCCTGGGATGGATCCTCTGACGTAAGGCCAGAGGACCTATTACGTTTTTGGATACAATATTTGAGGGTACCGGGCGATCAGGCTCCGTGAACGATCAGGCAATATCCCCCCACAGACTTCGTTATGTCTTTGAGGGTTAACCCAAATTCTTCACCGAGTATTTTCGTGGGCTCTCGTTGCCTTATCAGCACGGATAGTTTCCTAATCAGATGAGGAGTGTCCTGGGTATCCCTTTGCTACCACTATGGCACAACTAGCGGACGCTGATTTTGCCTTGCTATCAGCGACCGTAGACTCGCCCATCTTATTTACTCCCTCAGCCTTGGATGGTTCCAAAGGAGTGATCTTTAGTCGGCCGTCTGCTCTTCTGTTATCTATTTTTTCCCGAAGACTCCAGCTGGGGACTGCCTCGGCTTTTTCTCCCTTTTGTTATCGCCTTTTGGCCTATCTGGTTTCGGTTTTATGGGTGTGAACCTGCTCAACGGTGACCCAGCTGGTGGACTCTGATGGATCACCCTGCGTTGGCGTGCCTCGCCCACTCCTACTCCAAGAGCCAGATGGGCGTTCAGTTTGCTCACAATAACTCCAGGCTTCTTTTGTCGCATTATTTGTTGTGCAGGAACAATGGGGATGACAACCCGCTGGGCGTGATGAACTGTATCAGAGGTAACTTTGATGCACCCCCTGGTGTTCATCTCCACTGCAACAGTCCTAGAGAGCAGAAGGTTCCGGCCGTATGTACTGTAAAGTACTACTAGTATAGGCCTGGGTCTGGTTGTCTGGTTCTGCCTCCACAACCCGACCCTGTGGAATTTATTATAGGGCGTGTTGGTCGGTTTGCCCGCCAGTCGGAAAACAGCTTGAACGTGTTTGCGATCTGCCTCTCGTCGCGCTTTAGTATCGCGAATCATTGGCTACGCAAAGTTATACAGCAAGACGTTTCTCGCTCGACCCAGCACCTTTTGAGTTCTGTGGTGCTGTTCATGAAGATCTTTCTTCAACTGTTCTATACGAGCAGTCACATCTATCGACCCTAACGGTTTAACCGTAGCCCCTTTACGTGGTTTCTTTCCCTTTGAGCTCGTGATTTTCTCCTTTCCATTTTTTTCCTTCATAATATGTTTACGCTTGATTTCACCGCCTCCACGTGCTTCGTTGCTAGTCTCGGAGCGCGCGTATTGGAGGTTCGTGGTGACTTAATAGTTACAGCCCCTACAAAGGCCCCTTTCAGAATGCGCGAACATTCCTCTACCAGAGTCTCGCAATGTACGCATATTCACTTTAATTCTCCATGTTGAAGGTGCAGCGCATTGCACTGTTTCAACATCTTGGAGCATTTTTCCACGAGCCAACTCTATTAGACTGGATATCATTACTAACCGCTCTACCACAAACCCTGGCTCCATACGTGTCCCATGGTTGCTTTATTAACAGTGAATACAGATCACGTATTGTACGGGAATAGCAATTTAAAGAAAAAGCATCTCAAATTTCAAAACCCCCTAGACAAAAATGCTCAACCAAAAATGACTCAATCCCGCGTTAAAACGGGACAAAAAATTCCCAGAAAGTAAAACTGACCGACCAGTTGGGTCGACTATACGATACAACGACTGGAGAAAATTCCGTAAAATATCTACTGATTTTCACTCTTACCTACATGACGCTTTGAAGGTGTGACTCTTCTGAGGTCACAAAACAAAACGAATGGTGAAAGTGGATATTTCACTATATATAGTTTGAAATATCTATTGATATTTCACAATTAGCTGAGTAAAAACACTTTTGATCACGAGCACTTTAAATATTCAAACCGGGCGCTAACGTGCCGCAAGTCAGGTGTGACGTAAGATCTTACAACTTTGACACTAAACAGGAACGTGCCCATGTAGCTACATCGCGGTTCATCTTAGGCGAAACCAAACGTTCTGCTATGAGCTTAAGGGGAAGCTCGTATTCATGGATGAGCTAAGTTGTGCAAGGCAGTGAAAACCTGTTTTCTTTACGTGTGTGGCACTACGGGGCGTCGCGTGCCCGTGGATTCGTCGCAGAATATGGTGCCCTCGGATGTACTTGGTGGTACCTCTTGGAGTTAAAGGGAACTGTTGCTTTTAAGAATTTCTATTTCTGTGTCGGCTGTTTGTAAAGCCGCGAGTTGTCCAAGGTCATTGGTGTCCGAGGCGATGAGGTGGATGCGTGAAAGTGCATCGGCGACGGGGTTGAGCGCCCCTGAGATGTCTTATGTTCTCTGTAAACTGGGTGACAATCAAAGTGGCGTGACTATCTAGGAGAGTATTGGTCTCAGTTTGCCCGTGCTGTAAAAATGAGGGCTTTATGATCCGTAAAGACGGCGAAATGGCGACCTTCTAGCATGTGACGGAAGTGACGGATAGCTAGGTAAATGGCTAGGAGTTCGCGGCCGAATGTGCTGTAACGAAACTCAGCCGGTTGTAAACGTTTCGAGAAGAATGCTAAAGGTTGCCACTCTTCGCCTACATGTTGCCATAATACCTACTGCTACGTTGAATGGGTCCGTGGTGAGCGCCAAAGGTGAGTCCAGTATGTGACGTGAAACCGCGGCTATGTTGAAGATAGCCTTTTTCAGTTCGGTGAATCCTTTGCGAGCCTCGTCGGTGAACGAGAATTGTTTAGGCTCACCACGTAGTAAATCAGTTAGAGGTTGCATGAGCTTTGCGCAGTGGTGTATGAAACGTGAATAAAAATTTACTAACGCATTGCAACGTCTGAGTTGTTTAATGGAAGTCGGTTCTGGGCATTCTAAAATGGCAGTTATTTTGTCCTTAAGCGGAGAAATACCTGTGTCCGAGATCAAGTGACCTAGGAAATTCACGCCCCGCTCGCCAAAGGAACATTTGGCCGAATTAATGGTGAAAGATGTGCAAATGGGGTGCGTAGGTGTAGTTCGTGTTCTTCAGGCGTTGGACTAGCGACAAAAATATCGTCTAAATAAACGAAGGTGTTGTTCAGATCTTGACATACTTGGTCTATGAAACGCTGAAAAGTTTGAGTTGCGTTTCTCAAACCGAAAGGCATACGCAGAAACTCAAAGAGACCAAAAGGCGTAGTCACTGCGGTTTTTGGGACATCGCTAGAGTGCACGAGGATTTGGTTATAAGCTCTGAGATCAATTTTGCTAAAGATCTTACACTCTCCTAAACTTGATGTCAGGTCCTGGATGTGTGGTGTTGGATATCGGTCAGGCGTAGTGATGTTGTTTAGGGCCCTGTGGGCATCGCAGGGACACCAGTCTTTGGTGGACTATTTTGGAACCATGTGTAAAGGTGAGGCCCATGGACTGGAAGAGGCCTGTATGATTCCGTGGTCTAATATGCTGAAATTCTGCCCTTGCGACTTTAAGTTTGTCTGGGACGGCCGTGGACGGATGGACCCCGTGTGACTATGTGGTACACTATGTCAGTGCTGGCCTGTGGAAGAATGTTCGAGGGTTTACGTAACTCCGGGAATTCGGAGAGAACCGTGNATAGGGCTGACGGATATTTCGCGTGTCGGGACGCCCATTGCCTCGAGAGTTGTGAGACGGTCTACAAGCTTATGGCCTATGGGATCGATCATGAGGTTGAAATGAAGGGGGAAATCAATGCCACTGATCGACGACGGACGATCAGCGATGATGAAGACCCATGGAAAACTACGGCGAATTCCGAGGTTCAGTGTGAGTGAACACTCGTCGTAAGTTTTGATTGGGGTTTGGTTCGCTGCGACGAACTCAACAGCCGATGAATGGTGCTGATCGATGAGACAAGGGCGGATAATGCTAACCTGGGCACCG